CTGGGAGAAGTACTTGGGAGTGATGGTTGATGAGCTGCAGTGTGAGCTCACAGCCCAGAAACCAACTGTATCCTGGGCTGCATCTAAAGGAGTGTGGCAGCAGGTGAGGGAGGCAATTCTCCCCCTCTCTTCTGCTCTGGTGAAACCTCATCTGGAGTCCTGCACACAGCTCTGGTGTCCCCAACATCAGGAGGACATGGAACTGTTGGAGCAAGGCCAGAGGAGGCCACAAAGCTGATCAGAGCACTGGAGCATCTTCCCTACTTCAAACATGGCTGGTTTGTTATAAAGGTGGTTGAGAACACATATTTCATTAGAAGACCATGCCCACATTAAATAAAGTAATTAAAACTCATATTTATTTTCTCCATGTTAATAGGTAATACATTCTTTCTTTTAAGCTGTCACTTTTTTGCTGAAGGAGTGGAAATTTAGGGTAGATATTAGGAAAAAGCTTTTTCCTGTGAGGTTGGTGAGACCACTGTTGCCCAGGGAAGCAGTGGATTTCCCAACCCTGGCAGTGTTCAAGGCCAGGTTGGATGAAGCCTTGAGCAGCCTGCTCTGGTGGGAGGTTTCCCTGCCCAGGGCAGGGGGTTGAGGCTGGGTGATCTCTGAGGTCCATTCCAACCCTTCAACATTCTATGGTTCTCCAAGATATTTGATATCTGTAAAACATACTCCGATGTTGCAGAGTTCTTCATTGTGTGCTGCTCATCGTTGGTAAACCTCTGGAAACTCTGCACATGGAGTTTAAACCAGAGGACAGATTTTTCCTGTTATGTCCATGCTAAACCTCTTTGGCTGTAGGTGACAGAAGATGTTGAGACCCCTGGCAATACTTAGAGCTGAGTGTCTACACCAGAACATCCTGTCAACTGATGGTCACTGTAGTAGTCATAGGTACAGATACACCTGTCTGCTGTGGCTCCAGGCTGTAAGGTTTGGAAGCATGATTGGAGTGTGACTGATGTAATCAGGGAGCCTCTGGTTTACAACAGTCTCCTTTTCTGGGGCTGCTGAGGCAAATGCCACAGTTACTTCAAAGTGCCAGGTTGTGAACTTATCAAGTGCTTCCCTAGGCTGTAAGGAAAGGAAGAAGTCTCAGTGAGGCTGCCCTTAACCATAAGGCTGGATTTTAGAATGTGCCTTAGAGGAAGCAGATGAGTTGGAGAGAAACCTGTAGATTTCTCCAGGTGGTATTGTGGCTGTGGGACTGCAGGGAAGTCCCTAGGGTGATTTTCTAGTGTCTTCTCCACGTGTTTAGCCTGTTGCCTCTTCACTTTCCTGGGAGCTAAATCAGAGTTGTACCTGTCCTCTGGCATATTTCTGTGTGCTTTGGGTGGTGCCTCTCGAGGATTTCCTCTCTGCACCTCCCGTCACTGCCCCCAGACCCAACCCTCTGGCTCTGGCCTTTGCAGTGTGTGTGGCCTGTCTCTCCCCTCCTTCTCCACAGGCACCTTCCCACAGTTTATTTGATTTCACTTGGATTTCCCCTTGCATAAATTCTGTCTTTTGGCTGTTAAATTGTCATAGTCTCCTGCCACCACCTTTTTCCTTGGTCACAGCTCAGCCCAAAGCACCCAATGGGCTCTGAGGTCACATTTATTTCCCTGACCTCATGCTTCAGGTCAGTGACAGCACAGCAGTGTCACAGCACCTCCCAGGAAGGCTGGGTAGGTGCCTGAGTCATTCAGTCAGTACAGCCCCATGAGCTTTTGCTTCTTCAACACTGATGAAACAAAAAGTGGAACAAAACAGATTCTCTTTGTGGCCAGCAGTGCTCCAAACCCTGTGTTACTCGGCCTTTGGGACTCTCTGCTCTGAAGATCATGGTTTAAGCTCCCCCAGGTCTGACTGTTCCTCTCTGAGTTAGACACCTGGGATTTGGTCAGGCATTGCAATATTGCCCAGGGAGGTGGTGGAGTCACTGCCCCTGGAGGTGTTTAAGAGATGTCTGGATCTTGTGCTGCAGGATATGGTTTAGGGGTTACAGCAGTGACAGGTTAATGGTTGGACTTGATGATCTTAGAGGTCTCCTCCTACCTTGATGATTCTATAATTCTTGCCCAGGGGAGTTGGGTTCCTCAGTACAGCATGCGTGTCCTACCCCTCCTCATCCCCCAAGCTTACAGTAGAAGTGGGATGTGCTTTAAGGCCATGTCCAAGCTGCTGTGATGCTGCCCACACCTGCCCTGCAGTTCACTACTCAGTGTAATGGTTTTGTGTTTTTTGCAATTCTTTTTAAGGCAAATGCAAAAAACGAGGAGATGGTTTGAAGCTGGAGAATGACCCTCAGGAGGTGAGTCAGCTGGGATGCAGATGTCACCCCTCAGGGGGAGCGAGGCCTCTTGGCCACCTTTCCTCCGTGGAGAACAAGTGCTCCATTTGTTTCTGTTCTGAGGCTGACCTGGCAGGGGTTGAGGAGCAATGTGATCCCTGAACCCCTGATGCTCTGCACTCTTTGGTCTGTGCATTTCAGTTCTGTTCCTGCCCTCTCCACACCTTCCCTGCTGTTTTCCATTGTGTCTTTGGGAATGGCTGTACCCCACATGGTAGCTCAGCAGCTTTGTACCTGTGTGCCCATGGGCAGTGGCAGGAAGTACTTTTGTCAGGGCCTTCTTGAGGGGCCTGAAGAAGTCACTTGATGCCCTGCCCTGGCTTCTCCTCAGAGCTGGGCTGTTCCCCTTTCCCTGTGCCAGTGCTGCTCAGGCCGTGCAGTCACATGAGGACAACTTGCTTTAAAATATTCTCTATGGGAGAAGCCTTTATGAGAACAGATGCCACAGCTGCTGCTTCCTTTGCAAATGTGGGTGCGTTCTCCACTCCTGGGAAATGAGTGAGAATTGTTCCAGAGGCACCAAATTCCAGCAGGAGCTGTGGAGTCTTAGTTGGGACCAGTACTGTGCTGGACTTTGCAGCATGCAGAGCCAAATTGATGTAAAGGAAATGAGATACTAATAAATCCTGTCAGCCCTCCATGAGAGAAGCTCAGCAGAAACTGCCTCCTGGTTTGTACACCAGAAGCATTGGTGGTACAAGTCAATATTTGGGTGGGTAAAGAGCTGGAATGGGAGCTGTGTCTGTCCTCCATCCTGTAGCTTACATGGAGTTATCTTGCCAGTATAGGCTTTGGAAGCCCAGGGGAAAGGGACATGGGTGGGTTTTTGCATGTGCTGTCAGAGACTGTCAGGTGCTTCACCTCCTGCTTCTGTGGGCAGTGGGAGCTGGGAACCATCCGGTCTCTTGTTTCAGTGGTGATGATGTGAAATCCATGGATTTCTTACAGTGGCTGTCATTTTAGGAGGCTTGCCTGTTCAGCACTATCCATTGTGTTCTGTACAGGCCTGAAGTTGAATCAGGTTATTTACTGCTCCTTTGCCTTCCTTTCCTCAGGCAGAGTCGGAAATGGCTCTGGATGCAGAGTTCCTGGATGTCTATAAGAACTGCAATGGTGTAGTGATGATGTTTGACATCACCAAGCAGTGGTAAGAGACCTGCAGTGCCACCATGTGACTCTCCCTTGTTTAGGCAAAACAAATAACTTCTACGCGTCCAGGTTCCCAGTTGGATTTCGGAGCTGATAACCAGCCTAATGAGTTGCAGCAAGCTTGTATCCCTTAAAATAAAAGCTTTATCTTGTGACATGGCTTTTAATCTCCTCCTCTCCTGGGCTCCTTCCAAACACACTGTCCCAGTGGGTTCTGTGCTGCTGCTGCACTGCTGGCTAGGGCTGGATAATTAGTGCTGTCACAGGTGCAAAGTGCATGCTACAAACCTCTGCTCCTCAGAACACGAGGGAGAAGGGAAAGTGAGAAATCCCCGGGAAGACTGGTGTTAGTAGAGATTACTTAGAGGCATCGTGCTGCATTAATGTGCAGAAGTAATGAACTGCTCATTTTGCACATCTGCTGAGGAGAGTGAGAAAGATGGAAACCAGAGTGGGAAGGGCTCCTGCTTTGCATGTAAGGTGGTGTGATACAGGTTTGGTGTGAGGCAGTGACCTGGAGGAGGGAATCCTCTTGTTCACCCCACAGTGTCATAGGACTGAGGGGAACATTGCTCTAGGACATAGGTGGGTTGCTATGGTTGCAAGTGGATTAATGAGCAAGTTGTTTTTGAATAAAGACTGATCCAAACATATTGAGGGTTAACTTATTTCGCTCAGGGGGCAAAGAAGCCTCAGACTTGGGAGGGTTTGGGAAAAACAGTTCGATGGGGTTTTTCCTGTATGATTTGTGCTTGTAACTGCTTACAGAAGATGTTCCCACTCATCTGCCTTCCTCTCTCTCTCTCCTCTGGTGAAGGACATTTAACTACATCCTGAGGGAGCTCCCTAAAGTGCCCACCCACGTTCCAGTGTGTGTGCTTGGGAATTACCGGGACATGGGGGAGCACCGTGTCATCCTGCCTGGGGACGTGCGTGACCTCATCGACAACCTCAACAGGTGAGGGACGGGCTGCTCTCTCCCACCCCCATGTTCTACATGCATCCTCTGCCCTGGGCCTGGCTTTTGGCACCTCAGAGCTCCCAATGTGTCCCACAGCAGTGTGTGCTGCCCCGATGAGCACTGTGATCCTCTACTCAGCCCTTGTGAGGCACATCTGGAGTACCATGTCCAGGTCTGGGCTTCTTGGTACCAGGGAGACATGGAGCTCCTGGAGCAGGTCCAGCACAGGGCAACAAAAATTCTGCAGGGACTGGAGCACCTCAGTTAGGAGGAAAAGCTGAGGAGTTGGGCTTGTTTAGCCTTGAGAAGAGACAACTGAGAGGGACATCATTAATATATGCAAGTATCTGAAGGTGCCAAGAGGATGGATCAGGCTCTGCTCAGTGCTGCAGACCAGTAAAACAAGAGGTAATGGGCAGAAGCTGATACCCACGAAGTTTCACCTGAACATGAGGAAGAACTTCTTCCCTGTGCAGTGACCAAGCACTGAGCAGATTGCCCAAAGAGGTTGTGGATTCTCCCTCACTGGAGATATCCCAGAACCATCTGGACACAATCCTGAGCCATGTGCTCTGGGCTGGCCCTGCTTGAGCAGGGAGGTGGGACCAGTGACCCACTGTGCTCCCTTCCAACCTGACCCATCCTGTGATCCAGGAGCCTGCACCGGGCACATGGGTTGCTGTGTTCCTGCAGACAGGCAGTGCCTGGCAGCATGTGCCTGGCAGAAGTACTGTTCTCAATAAGTTATCTTCTTTCTGGATAGTCCTTCTCATGTGAAAGAATCCTCTCCCTGCAGCGCAGCTGTTCTCTGCTGCAAGAGAGCCAGTGCAGCTGTGTCCTCACAGCCTCTGAGCATCCCCGCACAGCACTTACTGGGCACAGTCAAGTCACACTCCTTCCTCACCAGCCAGACAAAAATTTCCCTTCTGCAGAGATCTGAGGTGCTCTGTCATGTAATATAAAACATTATTTGTTGGTCAGGGTTCAGTACATTGACCCTTTTTGTGTCATTTATATTTTTAAGGCGTTTTGTTCATTGTCCTCATCTCTTACTTGTTTATGCCTATGTTAATTGCACAGAAATGGTGTCAGATTTAAGACTTAATCCATAATGTAATAATTTCTTTACAAGTACATCTCTTTTGTCAGTCTGTTTGTGGTTTTACCATGAAATCTTCACTGAGAAATTAACAGCTTGTACAGCTGTGAATCCCCCAGAAGGTTTGTGTGGAACTGAGGCAGTGCCTCTGTCTGTGTGCAGTCTGTCCTGGGTACAGTGTCCTCCTCTCTCTCTGGGACAGGCCTCCTGGCTCTTCCTATTTCCGCTATGCTGAGTCTTCCATGAAGAACAGCTTTGGCCTCAAGTACCTGCACAAGTTCTTCAACATCCCCTTCTTGCAGCTGCAGGTAAGACAGGGGTATTGCGCTGGTGTGCTGCGTGGGTGACACAGGTTGGATTTGTCTCTAAGGCAGGAATTTGGTGTTTGGGGTTTCTTTTGCGGATAAAGGATCCTGAGGGGATTTTTATTTTCACTGGAGTTGGTGTAACAGAGTTATGTCAGCACATTGGAGCCTGTGACTGAAACATGTCTCTGGTTGTGAGAGGACTTCTTTGCTGTCTGGAGAAAGGCTCCAAGGGATGAACAACACCAGAACAAATCCAAATGGCATTCAGTGGTGCAGCTGCAAAGTCAAAAGTGTTAAATACATTCATTAAACTTTGGATTTCAGTTCTGTTCAGGTAAAACTCAAATGAGAAGAGATTTGGTCATGAACTCAACAGTTCAGGAACCCCACTTGCTGAAAAGCAGTGCCCCAAGTGTAACTGCTCGGCTTGGATCCTGTGCACATGCAGCCAAGGCTCCTATTTCCTTCATAACTGAGGCTTTGTGGCTGGGCTGAGGGGAAGGCAAAGGCCAAATGGGCAGGGAAGGGTGGGATTGTCACCTGTGAGCCATTGGAAGAGAACCTCTTGGGATGATCCTGCGGAGGTCCCTTGGGATCAATAGCAAATGCTTTTTGGAGGTACGGATGATGATGTGTCAGTGTTTTCTATTGGATGGGAAAAAAAAGCAGGCAGTTGATCTTGATTATCTTTCAACCAGTAATTGAAGTGCCCATGTGTAGTTTTGTACAAGAAATCCCCACTGGAATGCTAGTTCGGGAGAAACTGGGATGTGCAGAGCAGAAAGAACCAGGATAAGAGAATTCAATGTAAAAGAAGTCAAACAATAAATTTTTGAGGAGGAAGTTGTATAAATCTGAGCTCAAAATCCAACTTGCTGGTCAGTGGAGAAGATGAAATGTGCCAACATGGAGCTGGTGAAATATTTGGGTTTGTAGCCTCAGCTCCCATGGCAAAGGGATGTCTGGTGGGAATCATGCAGAACTGGTTCCCGGGTTACTTTTGTTGGGTTTTTAGATCTTTGTTTCACCAATAGATGTTGATAAGAGACAAAACCATCCTGTAACCATGATCTACTAATCTGAAATGAAAGCAGTTACGACACTTTGCTAAGCTAATTGTCTCCAAAGCCAGAGAAATTCTTGGACACATCTTGGTCTTTAGGGTAATAGAAAAAATAAATCTCACATAACCTTTAGTGGTTTGGAGATTCCAGTGGTGGTTGCTTAGGAGTGGTGAGTAAATGGGAGGACCAGCCCACATTTGTTCTCCTGCTCAGTGGGCTCATGGTGCCACGGGGAGCAGCCCAGGAGGTGCCACATAATTAAACTCCCAAATCCTGTGGCTCTCATGTCATTAAATAACTCACCACTACAGAAACAAACCTGAGAAAACTTCTCCTTACAGTTTAGTTCTCAAAATGTGCCAGGGGAGATTTGGATGGGCATATGTCCACCATGACTGTGAGTCTGTGTGCTCTGTTCTTTGTACCTCAGCACAGAAGGTGGGAACAGAGGGGACTGTCCCGTGCCTGTCATTCCGGGAGAGGTCACAGCTTTTCCCTTAAAACAGCAATGTCCAAACTGATTCCTGCAGTTCTGTGCTCATCCAGGGATTCAGGCAGTAGCTTTGGTGTATATTCTGATACAAGTCCCAGCATAGGATCCCACATGGAGATGGCTTGTTTCAGTTCTCTCTGGCCCCAGGAGGTCCCTGGCCTTGCTGTCCTGTGCCAGGGCAGGTGACACTGCACATTTGGAGGCTTTTGGTTGCTTCCACCCAACTTTGGGGACTTCAGCCCAGATGGGCTGCATTGGTTTTCTCAGTGCCCCTTCCATTTATGCCACAGGTTTATGAGCAATGCCTCATGCTCTCCACAGCAGCTGCTGCTGCTGCCTGGCTCAGGGCACTTTGCTGCTCCTGGAGACATGCTGGGAACCTTGCCTTGGAGTGCATAGGGAGCAGGGCTGGCCCTGGTTCTGATGTGAATCAGCTGCCCCATGGAGGGCTCAGGCTGTGCGCCGACTGCTTCCCAGGGCACAGCAGTGTGATTTGTATGAGCCAGATGAATTACTTCAGTTCTGTACAGTGTAGCTTCAAAGCTGTCCCATCTCTGAAACCATAATGCCCATTGCAGCATGATGCTGAAATTTGTGGGAAAATCACAATTAGACTTAGTTCCTGAAGGTTCTGCTTATCCCTCCAGAGCGTCTTGCCAGTCGCAGGCTCCAGAAGGAGTCATTTTCCAAAGTACTTTGGAGCAAAGCAGAGCTGAAGGAGTGAGATACTGTCAGCTATGAAATGCACACAGGTTTTAATCAGCTTCAGAGATTTCTGTCCCTATCCCCCACAGCTGTGCAGAGGCAGAGGTGTCCAGCTGTACCCTCTGTCCCAGGGTGTCCTTCAGCAGGGCTGGTGTCAGCTCTCGGCTTTCCGGGGCAGAGTCTGTGCTCGGCTTACACTCATGCATCTTTCATGGAGAAAGCAGGGGCTGAAATTCATACCCCCAGCACAGAGCATTGGCAGACCAAGGCTTCTCCATTATTTATCAGTTCCTTTCCAGGGGCAGGGTTGCCAAAGCCCAGGCAGCAGGTTAGCTGTGGGTCCTGCTGGTGCCCACAGGCAGGAGCAGGTCAGTGAGGCCTGTGGGTGCTGTGCTGGGAGGAGACAGTGTTCTGCAGGCAGCTCGCATTGCCTCTGCCCAGGAAGCCCTTCAGAGTGGCTTTCAGCCAAAGCACTGGTCTGTAGCACAGGATTTATTCCCTTCTTTTGGGTCACTGCTAAAAATAAGCTGTTTCTTTAATATTTCAGTAGCAGCATGGTAAAACTGAATTCATTTTTTTAAAATATTTGCAAGTCCATTATTAGTGATGGATTTTTACAGCATTAATTGCAACTCTCCATAATTAAATCTAAATTCTTCATTTAGTGTGATCTATAAATTGGAACAAATAAAACTAGTGTGTGTCTCAATGCCAAAGAGTGAGGTAAGGCAAAGCACTCATTTAATAGGAGTCATTATCAAAGAGCCTAAGGTAAGCACTGGAGACCGGTGGCCAGTCTGTCTCTGTTGGTTCAGCTAATCTGCTCAGAATTTATTTCACCCTTCTCAAGAAACTGAGGACAAAGAAGCAGCAGACTTGCCCTTTTCTGTCTCATTTTTGCTTATACTGCATGAATTGCATAGAAGGATGATAGCCACTGCTCCTGAAATCTTGCATTTCTTGATTTCTCAAATCCAGAATTTGAATTCTGAAGTCTTTATTAGTACTTCTGGTTAGTGCAGCAAGTTTAAATATGTGTGGCATGTTTTGCTGAGTCTTTCTTGTCTATATAGCACAAAAAAGGGAATTCACATTAACTAATGGCTTCGTAATTTCTTGTGTACACGTTAATTGAAGTCAAGTTTCCATCTGCAGAGAGCTATGAATATGATGAATAAAAAATGAAATAGCAAATAAAGTAGGGATTTCTCCAAGTTCTTAACACAGTGGCAGAGGTGAACATGAAGAATCTCTTTGCCTTGGAAGCAGTAAATTAGCTTGAGTGATCACAGGAGCTCAAATTTCAAGCAAGGCTGTATCCTCCAGTAAATAAGTATCTTCAAGGGTTATCCATTGTGATGGATCACCTGGTCTTATAGTACAAAATAAAAATGACTTAAACCTTGCTTGCTGTTTTCAGTCATGGTAGAATTGGATATGAATCAGCTGCTCCATGGAGAGCTCAGGCTGCACCCTGACTGCTCCCAGGACACAGCAGTGTGGTGGGGTTGATGATGAGTTGCTTCAAATCTGTACAGTGTCTTGATAGTTTCGAAGCTGTCAGTCTGTGAAGCCATAATGCCAACAGCATGTGCATGTAGAGACTGAACACCATTGCTTCATGCAAATGTTTTTCTTCCCAGAGGGACTTTATTCTGGAAATTATGGAGTAGATTTCTCTTTGGGTTTCAACTCTCATGGGATCTTCCTGCTATGAGCATATGTGTTGTCAAGCAGGGAATTAGAAATCCACTGCAGTTATTGATGCTAACCTTCAGAAATATGTGTCAGAGCAGAAAGCTTAAATGTACTTGGAGGATAAGGCAGTTACAAAAGCAAAAACCTTGGTGGGTTGGAGGAAGCTTGGGGTTTCTCTTCCATCTCCTCCCGCCTGGGTGGAGGTGCAGCTTAGCACCCCATGGCACCAGGACCTGCTGTAACAGGGACTGTGCAGTGCCATGAGACATCTGCTCAGCACAGGCTGTCCCTGCTGCTGTGCCACCCAGTGCACGGGCAGTGGGACAAGGAGGATTGATGCTTTGAGGCGCTGAACATCATTACTTTTGATGCCAGAACTGGGGATGTGAGCTGATCGGCATGCTCAGAGCCTCCCCAGGAGGCAGACAGGGTGCCAGTGCCCAGCTGTGTGCCAGCTGGCTGTGCCTGAGCAGAGGGGACAGGCTCTGGGGCACAGTTTGTGCCACAGACAGCTCTAGTCTTGGCCAGGGGACCCAGAATGATGTTTCTGCAGGAATGGGTGCTGTGTCAGCCCTGTGCTGGGTCTGTGGCAGAGCTGGGCCTGGTGCCACATCACGCAGGTGAGCCCTTGGAGCAGCCTCAGCCTAATGCTTGTGGGTATTGATCTGTCCTCCAGCAATCCAGGCTGTGGACAGGAGGGAGTCTGCTGAGTTGGCACTTCTCCTTAGCTGAGGTTTTTGCTTGGCTTCTGTTGGAAATGTGGGAAGGGAGGGACTGAGTGGGGCTGCCCTGGGTCACATTAGTGAAGTTGACTCACTGTATTGTCCATGTGAAATAGCCTGGGGTGTCTGTCCCTCAAATGTGGGGCAGTGGCTGGAGGCAGAGGGGTACAGGGACTTGCAAAATGGCACCGAGTTGGCAGGTTGTGCTCACTCATCTACCCTGAGAGCAAAAAGAAGATTCCTGGGTGGTTTTTCATGAGCTGGGCCCTGCTCCCACAGGGGCTGGTCCAGCATAGGGAGAGCCAAAGACCCAAATTCATGGGCTGCACAGCTGATCTCCACGGGAGCCGAGTCCCTGCTCCAAATGTAACTGCTGACTGTGTCTGAAATCACATGCTGCTGTTTTCTGGCTGAGGACAGCTCACAGAACAAGGCACTTCTTACACACAGACTTTCTGATTATCTCCTTTAGCTCATGCTTCCCTTTGTGCTCTATGTTCAGCTGGATGCCGTGAGTGGATCCAGCGCTCTTGGTAGCGCCGTGCTGGGGCAGAGCAGTGACACAGGATCTCACTGCACACCGATCTGTTACATTGACCCTTCCTGCTCAGCCCCAGCTTGTTTTCCTTTCCTCAGAGGGAGACGTTGCTGCGGCAGCTGGAGACAAACCAGTTGGATATTGATGCGACCCTGGAGGAGCTCTCGGTGCAGCAGGAGACTGAAGACCAAAACTACGAACTGTATGTCACTGAGATGTCTTTCCTAACTCTTTTGGGGATCACCTGAATATTGGGCTGACCTAGCTGTGGTATGTGGCCAGGTTGAAGGGAATAGTGAGTGGCATTTAGGGATTCTTCAGATAAAATGTCTCTTAAGTGACCTAAGCATGTGTCTGGATATCCCTGTGGAAGAGTCTGGTTCCTACAGCACGTGATCAGGGGAGGGCAGGGGAGGTGTGGCTGAGCAGCACATGCTGAAGGGATTGTAGATAAAGTGCTGAAAGGGGATAGTTTCCATCTCTCAACTGCTCAGCACACAAGTTGGTTTCTCTTCTTCTGGCTGTTGCATTCCTGTGGGTTGTGTGTTTTGTGATAGGCAGAAAGTAACAGCAACAACATCACTGTGTTTTGTTCCTTTGAGCACTGCTAGACGACTCAGTGCATTTCTGGTTTGAAGTAGTAGCTGGTTCCTCTGCCCTGTGCTTGGTCTATGGCCTGGCTGTGTGCTTGCTGCTTGGAATGTTTGCCAGATTTAGCCTCACACAGGCAGTACATCTGTAGCACAATGAACAGGAATCTCTGCAGATCTCAGTGTTGCTGACAAAAATGTTCCTTGAATTGCCATCACAGGGCCTTTATTGCAGTGATGTGCAGGGCAGGAGAGTCAGCTCAGAATGGATTGAAAGAGGATTATTTACAGGCAGCTTTATTTGGAAGTTGGAATCAATGATTATGAAATATTCATGCACAGCCATTTTGACAAGCATTTTTCAGTCCAAGTTTCAGGTTCTATAACCTTGCTCAGTGCTTTCCTTTGAGAGCCCTGAAATCCCCCAATGCCCACAGAGCAGTGCTGTTTCCAGAGCGTTCACCTCCTTTCTCTCCTTAGGGACTAGTTAGCCTCCTCATGCCTTCAGCACTTGTCTTGATGTCCCTCCTCAAAGGACTGGGCTGTGTGGGCTCTGCTGTCAGATGGTTCTCCATACTTTTGTTTGTACTGAATCAGTAATGAGAAGATACTTAAAAGAATCAGGAGTTGGCAGAGCTGTTTCAAACTCACACTGCAAGATCTTGCTGCTTCGTCACCTCTTGCCCTTCCAGCAGCTTTAGCATTTGTTGGACATTCTCATGTGTCACTTCAGCACACAAATCCAGCAGAAAACCAGGTTGGACGGGGCTTGGAGCAACCTAGACTAGTGGAAGGTGTCCCTGCCCATGGCAGGGGATGGAATGAGATGAGCTTTAAGGTCCTTTCTGACCCAAACCAGTCTGGGATTCTGTGATCTACGAAAACTGTCTTCTGCCATGTCTCCCTCTGGGTTAGTCTGCGCTGAGCTGGCTCTGGGAAGCATCTGCCAAACACCAGATCCTAAAGACAGCAGCAGCAAAGTGATGCTGTCAGCGGGGTGGCCAGTGGGTATTGGACTGGATCATCCCATCCAGGTTGCCCACGCTGCTTGGGGGCTGAGGGCTCTGTCAGGCTGCAGAATGAGCTTAACATGGCCTCAGAAATACCAGAGCCTTGGTGTCTGTGAGAAGAGGAGTTGCTAAAATACTAAAAGCAAGACTTTTTTCTAGGATGTCATGAGGGGAAGTGGAGGGGCAGCACTGACCTCTTCTTTCTGGGGACCAGTGGCAGGACCCAAGGGAATGGCCTGAAGTTATGTCAGGGGAGTGTTAGGTTGAATATTAGGCAAAGGTTCTTCCCCCAGAGGTGTTTGGGCACTGAACAGCTCCCCAGGGCAGAGGTCACAGCCCCAAGGCTGACAGAGCTCCAGGAGTGTTTGGCCAATGCTCTCAGGCACAGGGTGCATTGTTGGGGTGTCCTGTGCAGGGACAGGAGTTGGACTGATGATCCTTGTGGGTCCCTTCCAATTCTGAATATTCTGTGATTCTGGTTTAGCAAATATAGTGACATTTTTATGCAGCTGTCCAGCTCCTGCTTCACTTCAGCTCCTGCATGTTTATATGTGCACTGAGACTGTTCTTTGCTTTCAGAAAATATGCAGTTCTTTACAGTAAGGGCTTTAAAATGCTTCCTGTCTTGAGCCACTCATCCCAGAAGAATAGCACCAGCAGTGTCATGTCTGGGTCCTTTGATCACACTGACTAAAATGGAGTTGCTATTTTAGGTTTTTTAAGGCTTATCTCTGCACCCCAGGTAGAAACAGAGTCTGGTTGTTCCAGTGGCACCTCTGTGAGCCAGATGAGCTGCACAGGGGTTACTTCAGCCCAGAGGTGAAAGGTATATGCTTCCTACACTTGATTTTTATCCCTGCAGGAGCTCTTCATGCTCAAGTTCTACTGCCGAAGTCCCAAGTCAAAGAAATACTCGCACTTACATGGCAGAGAACCAGGTTCGGGTAAAGTTTGATTCTTAGTAAACAGTCTGGGCTGGGGAGCGGAACATCTGTGAGCACAACACCAGTACATGGTAGGAATGAGAGCTTGCAGGTGAGGCAGGTCTGCAGTAGTCATCTTAGGGCTTGGGAAGGTCCTTGCCTCCATGCTTGTCAGGTGCCCATCACTTTGGGACTATCATGTTTAACTTCACTGGATGTCTAAGTGAGCACCTGGTGTGTTGTCCTCTGCCACTCACTCTGTTGTGCACAGCAGAGGTGTGGTGTGACTTGGTGACACCTTGGCAGATCATAGAATCATGGAATCATTTGAGTTGGAGAAGCTCTCTGAGGTCATGGAGTCCAACTGTTAACCCAGTGCTGCCAAGGCCACCACTAAACTATAGTATCATAGAATGTTAAGGGATTGGAATGGACCTTAGAGATTATCCAGCCACAACCCCCTGTCCTGGTCCAGGGACACCTCCCACCACAGAAGGTTGCTCAAGGCTCTTTCCATATCTGGCTGTGAACACTGCCAGGCTTGGGGCAGCCACAGCCTCTCTGGGCAACCTGTGCCAGTGTCTCACCACCCTCACAGCAAAAAATTCCTGATATATAAATTTCCCTCTTTCAATGTATCCCCATTCCTCCTTGTCCTGTCCCTGCAGTTTCTAACCAAAAGTACCTCTGCAGCTTCCCTGGAGCCCCTTCAGCTCCTGAAGGTGCTCTGAGGTCTCCACACAACCTTCTCTTCTCCAGGCTGAACAGCCCCAACTCTCTCAGCCTGTCCTTGTAGGGAAGGTGCTCCAGTGCTCTGATCAGCTTTGTGGCCTCCTCTGGCCTTGCTCCAACAGTTCCATGCCCTCCTGATGTTGGGGACACCAGAGCTGTGTGCAGCACTCCAGGTCGATCTCAGCAGGATAGAGGGGGAGAATTGCCTCCCTCGCCTGCTGCCACACTCCTTTGGGTGCAGCCCAGGACATGGTTGGTTTCTGGGCTGTGAGCTCACACTGCACTCCATGTCTGCAAGTGCCACATGCACATGTTGTTTGAACACTTGTAGAGATGGTGACTCCACCACTGCCCTGGGCAGTCTGTGCCAATGCCTGAGCACCCTCACAGTGTATTACCCTTTCCCTGATATCCAACCTAAAGCTCCTCTGGCACAACTTGAGACTGTTTCCTCTCGAGCTGTCACTTGGGAGCAGAGCCTGACCCCCACCTGGCTGCACCTCCTGTCCCGATGCCCTTGTGTTGGTTCCTTCAGCTGTGACTGCACTGGAGCTGAGCTGTCGCTCACCCAACTGGCACAGCAAGAGGAGGTGACTGCAGGCTCCTGGGGCCACAGGCCATGGTGTGGCTGCTGCAGGACGGCCTCCCAGGT